CCCGAGTGCTCCCCAGAAACACAAAACAGAAAAAGTAAATTAGCAAGATGTGAAGAGACATTTCACTGACCCTAGAATGACGTGGTAAATAAGCCCACGAAAAATATGGTCCAGGTCATTACTCACTAGAGTAAAAACACACTGAAACCAAATGAGCAATCAGACTGGCTAAAACACAAAAATATTGACGGTAACAAATGCTGACAAGTGAGGGAGAAACAAGACCGCTGAACTCTTACCGGGGGAAAGAGAGAGGGTCCCAGCCACTCGGGAAAGATGCTCAGAGAGGGAGCACCCCACAGCAGGTCCAGCGGGGCTCTGATCCCAGGAGAATAAAAACTTATCTTTTCCCCCAAAGCCTGCACTCAAATATTTATAGCCGCTTTATTCATAAGTGTATCAAGCTGGAAACAATTGGGCAGCCCTTCCATCAGGGAGTGGTTACGCAAATCACGGGGTGGCCACATCAATGGAATGAATGTTGTTGAGCAATAAAAAAAAGACGCAACGATGATAGGTACAATTGATTCTGCAGATGAAATGCCAGAGAATTCTGCTGTGCTTGTTTTCACCTACAAATAAAACCAAACCAAACCCCCAAACCCAAGGCAATCGGGGAAGACTCCTGCTGTGGGATCCTGTTCAGGTAACCTTTCAAAGGCATGGAACGGAGAACTGGAAGACAGTCACTGGCTGTCCCGTGGTTATGGAGGACGGTGAAGTGGTTCCCAGAGATAGGAACCACTGGCCTCAGAGCAGACTTTAATATGTAAGCTGAGTTCCGGGGAACTCTCCAGACCACTGCCCCCAAATGAACCCAGCAGGACCAGGAGTCTTGACTACTGAAAAGCCCTGAAATGATTTCAAGTGTCCTAAGTCAGCGCAGCCTGGCCCCCTGGCCCTTCCTGCAGACGCCACACTGAAGGCCCTGCCCCCTGGCCCTGCGCCCGCCTGAGAGGCTGTGGCACTTCCCCGCAGGTCGCCCCACCCCCCACACTTGTACCCCTCCTCTAGGAGCTAGTTTGTCTCCTGCAGGGTGAATCTGAGTGACGACATGGACAGGAGTGGACTGAGGATGGCAGAGGCGGCAAGGTCTTTGCAGAGTCTTTCTTGCAAGTGCTGGGACTGACCCTGGGTTCAAGTACAAAGGCTGACTTGGCAAGAGAGAGCAAACCCTGCGGCAGTGAGCAGGGCGCTGGGGTGGGAGAGTGCGGCCCTCCACCTTCCAGGAAACCTCAACGGGAGAGGCCCTAAGGGGAGGAACTCTGCACCCAACCCAGAATGCACAGTGAGTGTGGGGGGACGCGGGCACCCCAGGAAGACAACGGGCAGAATGACCCAGGCGCTGGCTCTTCCCCTGGCTCCCCTTGCGGAAGCCCATGTGTTTCCTCTCTGCATCCCCTCTCCTCGAGGCCAGCCAGGGGCCCTGCAGGGGGCCGGGGCGGGCATGGGAAGATGGGGGAAAGAAGCAAAGCTGGCAAATCCACAGGAAACAGAGGCCCCAGGGCGGGCCAGAAAACCCCTGTCCTGTCTCTCCTTTGATCTATTTTCTAGCAAAACAAAAGGGAGGGATACCTGGTGGCTTCCAGAAAAGCCGCTTCTGAAAAGAGCCACGTGTGCGGGAGACTCAGCCACGCGGGGCCAGGGTGGCCGGAAGGCGTCACAGTCAGGTCCTGCTCCGGTTCCCCACACACAGCCGGGGGTCCCGGGCATCGTCTGCTCACAGACTCTGTCACTAGCCCTAAGGTAGCAAAGAAGCACCAAGGCTGGATCCACTGTGTGGACAGAGAAACTGCACTCTGATATGTAAATATGTAAAGTGGTGCTGGCAGCAGCCCCGACCAGGCTGGACCCCGGTGGAGAGAAGCTCGGGCAGGAAGAAGCGGGTGTCCACGACATGCGAGCCACGGATACATCTACCTGGAAAGCCCCTGGGAGGCTCCTTGAAAGTTTAAAATGCTTAAAATGCAACTTTTTAAAGGTAAGTGGGGGCACATTCCCACTCTGGGGGTATCTCTACCCGAGATGTGTGCTCTCCACTCTCCCTGCTCTGGAGAAGCCCGTGTTCAGAGCGGCGCAGTACAGAGGACACGCAGGGAGTTGGCCCAGGTCTCATGAGCTCATACTCACATGTGTCCCTGACTCCCAGGTCTCAGGGAAAGCAGCTCTGGGTTCAGTTGCTTCCTGGGAACCCAGTGAGGCCATGGCAGAAGGAACCGTGGGAAGAGAGTCCCAGAGCGGCAAGGACCCACAGCCACCCGCGGAAGGAGTCAGCCAGAGTCCCACGGGGAGAAAGGCAGAGCTGAGAGCCCGCTGCAGGAGTGTCCCCCCTGGGGATGGCCCAGAGAAGGCCAAGCACTGCACTGCCGGACACAGGTCCTGACACGTGGAGTCCCTACATACTCCCCACCCAGAATTTCAGCAGGAGAACCGAAGTAGGTAGCTAGGGCAGGCCAAAAGGGTCTTGGCAAGGGCAGGGGTTTCCCTCAGCAGCGGCCCCTGCCCTTCCAATCTGTATGTATGAGTCTGATCCTTCAACTCGCCTTCTCTTTGTTTAGACTAGAAGCTTCTGGAAGCAGAACCTGGGTCTGGTCCCCCCCCCCCCCCTCCTGGCCCTTACATGACTCTAACGTGTTCCCAGTGCTCAGAGGACAGGCCCAGAGCTGGGACACACAGCTGGGGAAGTCACAGAAGCTGACTGGTGACATCCGCCATGAAGGCCCTCAGACACTGCACCACCCCGGGCTGGATGTCAAAGGTCAATGCCAGGCCAAGTTCTCCCATCTTCCTCCTAGTGGGCATCCACCGGGGACTGGAAGCAACAGCACCGTGCCCTCTGGCAAGCGCCCGGCATCTGTGACCAGGCACAGTGGCGTTCTAGGTCACCTAAGACTCACTTCGTCCCCACTGCACAGGTCCCCTGAGTGCAGAGAACCAGAGGACACTGACCCACCCCGAGTGTGAGACCTGGGCCAGTAGGAACCAAGACGGCAAAACTGGGAGGCTCAGCCACGCCCTGAGGCGCATCCATGTGGCCTGAGACGCTGCCTTTGAGCTGTACAAAGGCAAGCGAGGAGACGATGGTTTTATAAGGGACCATTGAGCACGTTTCTTTCCCATGACCATAGGACCTGCGTTTGTGTCAGAACAGAGCCCCTGCAGACATGGGTCCATAAGAGGCCCCAATCCCGTGGCAGCCAGCATAGGTGGCCACTGTGGCCATGGTGAGCTCGGACACCAGTTTCAGAGGAAACTGGAACACAAGGAGCAGAAGGGCCCCCAGTAGGCCCTGCCCCTTACAGTCATAGCCAGGCCTCCAGGGGCAGATGCTCATGAGGGAAGTGCCTGCTGTCAGGACACAGACCACACTGCCTGGTTCAGCCTGAGAGGGCCTCTGGAGACAGGGCAGGGGGTGGGGGAGCGGGGTGGGGGCCCCCAGGCTGAGTCTCGCAACCTCGAGGCCTCTTGCCCTGCTCACCTTTCACCGGGACACCCTCGGCAACAGCCCGGTGAAATGTGCTTATTAATTTCACTCATTTGACATTGCCCTCCCGTGCCCCGAGCGGGCAGGATGCTTGGAGAAAATCATAGGGATAGATTCCGCTCCTGTCAGGCATGCCGAGACTTTTCAAAAAAGCAGAGAACCAAAGGCCGACCGCCTGTGAGCAGAGACCATTCAAGATGACCCCTAAGGTACAGACCAAGTGATAAAGGGACCCACCAGTCCCCCTGGGGGGCAGCAAGCAGCCGGGGAGGCCCCCCCAAGGAGCTGTCCTGGGAGGGAGGGGCAACCCCTGAGGCACAGCCCAGGAAAGCAGTGGGCTAGGCCCGAGGCCCAGCTGGCTCCTTCGTTTCACGTTCCTTAGAAGACGCGTCTGGCTTTGCGCATTGAGAAGACCTGGTGTCGCTTCGCCCTGGTTTGAGGGCACAAAGCTATTCCTGTCAGGTCCGGGTGGTGGCACGACGGGCACACAGACTGTGCTTTGATGTCTGGCAACAGGCGAGCCCCGAGCCTCTGGTGAGTCGACTCTCATCCTTCCTTCACGCGCACCCACCGCGTCTCTCGGTTCTCAAACAGGGGGCAGAGCGGGGACGTGGTGGGCACCCCGACCCTCTGCACATCAGCCGCCCCTGCAGCTCTGCGTGCGCCAACCCCTCTGCATGGGGACACTGACACAGCGACAGCTGGAATGCTTGGGTGGTCAGGAGGGGGACAGGAAGGGAGAGGTCAGGGGTGCTGGGAAATCTCCTCCCCAGCAGGGCGGGGGAGCACCCACGCCTGCCCTCGGCGGATTCCACAGACTCTTCCCAGGAGGCCGAGGGGGAGAAGGTCGGCCTGGGCCTTTACTGCCCCCACGCCTGGGTGACTCACTGGGCCCTTTTCAATGCCTGGAGAGGGAGTCCCTGCCCCTTTATTCTCCTGTTTTCTGCATGTCTTCAGGGACTGAGAGAGTGGAAACCAGAACTCCTTGGGCTCAGAGGATGCCTGCCAGACAGTTGCCGAGAACAGGTCCCTCCTGGGGCCGAGCTGTGCCCGTCCAGCTCCACCAAACAGGCATACGCTTATTCCTGCGGAGCCAAAGGGATTGCCTCCGGCCTGCGGCATCCCGTCCCCACTGTCGGCCGAGGAGTGAGCGGCTCCCTGCTAAAGGGCAGAAGGTTTGGGATAACTGCCCAGAGTGAAGGAGGTGGGAGCCTGAGGGTGGGGCCCATCCTTAGGACAGGGACCCTGTCACTTTGCAAAAGTGCTATGGTCCGCGTAGTGGATCCAACCCCAGCTTTCTGGAGACTCTCAGAGCCCATGTCCAGGAAACAGCTCATGCCCATGCTCTGTCTTCAGAGCAGAACCCCGCCCGGCCCGCCTTCCTTCCCTCCCTCTCTGCTGAGACTCCACATGGCAATGGCACACAGCCCCGGGGGTCTCACCCTGTCCACCCCCCCCCCCCACCCTCATCCACTCAAACCACAACCCCCAAGACACAAGCAGCACCCAGACTTACGACGTCGTAGCCTGTGGGGGCCCGGTTCCGTGACGCCACCACCCCGACGCCGGTGATAGGGTGGTCCATGGTGGTGTCCGGCAAGGCTTCTGAGAGGTCCTTGACCTCAGGCATGGTGGACTGGTCCTGGTTCCAGAAAGCAAAGAGAAAGCATGACATTCAGGCTGCGCGCGAACGGCGAGCGAGGCAGGGGTCCCCAGCGGGGTCGAGGGTCACAGGGAAGATGCACCAGCTCAGCCCAGCGCAGCCCTCTCCTGGGGCCCAGAACTCAAGCTCTCTCTGGGGGCCCCTTTCACTGCCCTCCAGACTGCCTCGGGCACAGAACACACATACACACACAGGGGCGAGGACCCCGCCCTGACCTCAGCACGGCCCTCAGGTTCCAAGCCCAAAGCAAACCACGCTGGACACTCCTGTCCAACCGCGCCCCCAAGGTGAGTCAGACACCGCCTGCCTCTCTCTCCTTCAGGACAGATCCTTCTGGAAAAACGGGGTGGGGGGCCGAGGAAGAGCCAGGGCCAGCAGATAGCTGGTGTCCTTGGGCGAGCCACTATTACGACGTGGACCCCAGCGCATGGTCTGTGTTCAACAGGATGCGAAGGAACGTGGCAGGTTTGGTGGGCGTGGGGAAACATGGGCGGCATCCATGCCCCGTGCCTGTACAGCTTCCTACAGCCATGGGCCAAATGTGTTCAAAATCAACCATGCCACAAATCTGACACATTTCTGGCCATGCTCATCATCCGTGCTGCCTTTCTCAGGCGAAAAGGGGTCAGAAACGTAACCGGTCTCGAGGCATCAAAGACCCCTTTCACTGTGCTGAAACCCGCAGGTCATGGGAGCCCTGGCTCACAGTTAAACACTAACAATGACCATCATTCCTGCAGGGGCTCTGGAGAGGGAGGAGGAAAACCGAATGATTCTTTGACTGCGGACCTGCTCTTGATGTGAGCAGAGGAGACAGGCGGAACAGAGCAAGTCCTGGGTCTGGGCGGCCCGTGTGCACGTGGCGATGCACCAGAAAGCAAATGAAATAGGTAACGCCTCACGGAGATGACTTTTCGTACTTTCCAAGGTACAAGCTGTGAAAGGGAGCAGGTTAAACCCTAGCCCTTCTAAGTTCCACATGGGAGGGCGTGCCAGACCTCTCAAGGCACTAGAGCCCCCCATTCCACGTCAGGAAGCAGGAAGGAGGAAAAGTGAAGCCTCCAGCCTCAACTCCCCAAAGGCAGAGGCTACCGAAAATGTCTGTGGTCTCCCAAAAAAGATGGCACCAACATGCCCTATGCGGGGGTCTGGGGGTCTTGGCGCGGTAAGGGTGGGGCATAGCCAGAGTCCTGTGCAACCCACAAAGGTTCTGGAAACAGGTGTGCCCAAACAGGGGGACCCAGTGTCCAATAAAGGTGCACAGATGCCCGGCACTGCGTCTGGTAACTTAAGACTTCAGCTAAGTGAAGCTGCGCCTTACATCAACCTGCTTAAAACAAGCCCACAGTGCTTCTCGGCATCACAGTCAGTTCTGACGGTATCTGCTCAGGGCCTTTGGCCGGAAGCAAATATCTGTTGAATGGAGAAACACTCAAACGGCCTCCGGGGAGGAAGGATGGGAAGGACTCTCCCCAGCAGCCAAAGAGAAAACGGGTTAAAAAAAAAAAGAAGAAGAAAGAACAAGCCCACATTATTGGGTACCACAAAAATAACAGGCTGCAGTTTGCAAAATATCAGTACCTGCTCTTGGTTACCAAAATGCTTGGCAATTAACAACTCATTAACAGAATGTACAAATTCTGCCAGTGCTAAAATATCATGCTGTGAATTTAATAAAGAACATGCAAGGTAAGTTTTTGCTTTTTTTTTTTTTTTTTTAAAAAAAAGATAGTACTGGCACTACTAGCAGAAGAGTGGGGAGGGGAAGGGGGGCTGGGAATCTTTGCCGGTAAATTCCGGTCATAGCACCCAGCCTGGGCCGCTGCTGACAGACTCCTGCTCAGCCGGTTGGCCCTGAATGAGGGGCCACTCCCAGCATGCACCAGGCAAGATGGCCGCGACCCCCCACAGAGGCAGACAAAGGAGCATGGGGTGGTTGTGCCCTGGGCCTGCTGCAGCCCGAGGGCCTGAACCATGCCAGGTGGACAGAACAGATCAGGCTTCTCTCTTGGAAGCAGAGTCCCCTGCACCCCTCACCCCGCCATCTCTTCTCTCTCTTCCCCGGAGTGGCAGTGGCAGCCATACCCCGGTGCAGGGGGGACCCCCTCCCCCGGCAGCCTTTGTGAGGTACAGACAAATGACTGTGCGTGTGGCGCAGGGCAGCCGGCTCAGGCGGGGGGACCCCGGGCGGCTGCAGAGGAAGCTTTTAATGAGAAACGCCCAAGATATCCACGGCAGGGGCGATCACTCAAAGCCGCTCGCCCCGAATTACATATTTTCTGACTGCAAATTACTTCGAACAGCGCCTCCACCGTCACTTCAATTGACCTTCCTAACAAAAGGCCATTTATTAACTGGCACTCCCCGTTTCCCGGCCGGCTGAGCCAAGTGCCAGCCAGGAGCGATGGCCCCTCCGAGGACCTGGCCGCTCAGGGACACAGGCCGGGTCCCGGCGACAGGAGGCCGAACAGGCAGCCCACATCGGGTGTGGGGGCGGGGCGGGGTGTTTCAGACCCACTTCTGGCCATCTGGGTGGACGCCAGGCTGCGCCTGGGCAGCCCCCCTCCAGCAGCCCCTTGCTCGCTCAGTGTCCACTACACAGAACAGAGCCCCCCTGTCCCCGGCATGGCACAGAGCCCTGCCCTCTCCAGTGCTTCTCCAGCTCCTTCTCCACCAGGCTCACCCCAGTGAGGGCTGGATGTTCCCCATTCTGCAAGAGAGAACACCGAGCTGTTGGGCTGCAAGTGGCCGGGCTGCAAGTGGCCGGTGATCGGTCAGGCTGACGACTGCCCAGCCCCAGGCCCTGTGCCCCCTGGCAGCTCTGCTTCCCAAGACACGGCAGAGAAAGCAGCCTCTGGTCTCCTCCTGAGCCTCAGCTCCATAGGTGAGACAATGGGGGTGTGGGGCGGCGAGAGATGGGAAAGATAAAAGTAGCCAGCGACTAATTTTCCCCACACCTCCATTTCAAGACACAGCGGATTCCCTCGTAAATAATTTACCACAATAAAAATGAGCTAGGGCTGTGTTTGTGCAGGATGGAGGTAAATTTAGGCCTAATGAGGGAGAGCCGAGCGCCGCACTGGGGGAACAGGCTGATATATGGCAGCACAAGCCCATCGACAGCGGCGAGAGGGCTAGGGGCACTGGGGGAAGGGGGTAGGGTGGGAGGCAGGGAAACATCCGCCCCCCCCCCCCCCCACACACACACACACATACACACACCGCTGCTGTGACAGGCCCGGGGCTGACCTCGCTCCCTCCTGCCTCGGCATCACCAGTGCAGACTGGGCCGGCCAGGAAGATGGGGTTGTCATCGAGGCCGGGCAGGAGGCGGGTGTGCAGGTGGCCGCGTGAGCCTCACGCACTGCCCGTGAGAAGCACGTGCTCAAAGGTGCACCCGTAGGCAACCCCACACCCACCTGCACGTGAGGCTGGGCGTGCCCATTTTTTAAAAATTATTTTTTGTTTCTTCTCTGTGCACATGACAGTGGACGTGCCTGGGGGCGGGGGTATGAAGGTATGTGAAAGTGAGTGTGTGGCTGGGTCATGCATGAAAGGCACATGCAGAGTGTGTGTGTGTGTGTGTGTGTGTGTGTGTGTGTGTGCAGGTGTGACCATGTGTGTGTTTGCGCGTGCACACATCCTGGGACGAGGTGAATCAGGCAGGGGAAGCCCAAGTTTACACGTGAGAGGATTTTCCCCAGGCCCTGCTCTAAGTCATACATGTACGTGTACGTCGTTGCAAGACGGTCCATGCGCCACATATGCGGACGGTGCTGTCAGCGCTGGGGTCAGGGGCAGCCAGGGGCAGTTGCCGCAGGCATCGTATCACCTCGCCAGTCCTATCATCCCGTTTGCAAAGAAATAAACTTGAACTCTAGAGCCCTTCATCTAGACAGCACGTTGCTTCCTCGCAATGGATCAAAGACTCACAACAACACCCGTCCTCAATCCCAGAGAGTTGGCCGAGCTAGGTTTAACAGGGGCGAACACGGTTTCAGAATCAAAGGCCTGCCTGCAGCCTGGGAGAAAACCAAGCTACTGTATCAATGCTGAAAACTCAGGGGAACTTTGATATCATCTCTGTTTAATTTCCCCAGCCCCGCGAGCCTGGGGTTTATCTCATTTTATCAACTCCTGTACTGAAATCAAAACCCGACTCAGAGCTCAGCTCAGGTCCTGCGGAGGCAATTGGAGTGGCAGGGTGGGGTGCGGGGCCAGGCACTGACAGTGCCTCCCAGGGGGCCAGCCCTACGTTGGGGGGGGGGACGGGGAGGACAGGGCGCCGCCACCTTCAGAAGCTATGCATCTACCCAGCACAGCCCAGCACTGCCCACCACGGCCAGCCATCAGTGCTGGCCAGGGCGCTGAGCCGGTGACTTGCATACCGCCACTTTGGAGAAAAGTGAGACAAAGTATCAAAGTATCAAGGGGGCAGTGAAGTTGAGTTACTGTAACTGAAATGAGAATCACTTAGGAAGGGAAACCTCACAGTCAGCTGAAGTCCAAAGTCAGGGGGGAACAGACAGACCTCAGTGCCTGCCTGGGGCCCTGCAGCTGGTGGGGCTGGGGAGGGAAGTGGGAAAACATCTCCACTGTCTGGTTCCGAGCTGGCCATCCTGCCTACCCTCTGTCCCCAGGCTGGCTGGGGAACCCCTGGCTTGCTTTCCAATGGTGGCCGGGATAGCTGCAGGAACACAGGGCCCCTCTGGAGTCCTGGGGTCACTGGCAGAAGGACACTGTCTGGCCCTGTGGGAGGCTGTGGCCAGGCTTTAAGAATAGACACCACCACAGACACACCCAGGGAGCAGGGGCCAGAGTGTCCTGGAGCCCAGGCAGAGGGCAGGGTCCAGGCTGCTCCCAGCACCGCCCGCTCTCCCAGGGACGGGTCAGAAGTCCAGTCCCCTCACCAACACTCACTGCTGACTGTGGTGAGGTCAGAGTAGTCCACGGGCTGTCGGGAAATCTGCAGAGGTATTGGCAAACTAGAGCGAATCATTCAAGGAGCTCTTCTCTATCCCGGAGAATTTCCCAGCTACAAAATTAACAATGGTGCTTCCCTTTTCCCGATAATGGTCTCACCTTCTGGAACACAAATGCATCTATTCAATCTGACCCAAACCTAGATTTCTTCTTGTGGGTAGGAGGGGGCTTGGGCCACACCCAGCAACACTGTGGGGGGTGGGGGTGGGCTCACCCTGTGCTCAGGGGACCATATACAGTGCCAGAGACATGTAAGACAGGCACCTTAACCCCTGCACCATCTCTCCGGTCCTGGAATTATTATGGTGGTGGGAGGCTGGGGCCTGTCCTGGCTCTGTGCTCAGGGATCACTCCTGGTGGTGCTCAAGAGACCACATGGGGTGCTGGGGATTGAGCTGGAGTCAACCGCATGGAAAGTAAGCACCTTAATCTCTGAGCTATGTCTCTGGCCCCTGTGCCTATGTTTCTACGAACTACTTAACGACCAAACAGAATTTCTACAAACTTTCTGAGGCATACACGGTGTTCCCTGAGCTGCACCCTGAGTAGGGCAGCGCTCAGTCCTGGAAGTCACCCTTTAAGGTGACATCCAGGGCCAGTGCTCCAGCACTGCACGAACCACACAAATCAGGAGAACCAGGGGCCCTGGTGCGCCTGTAGCGCAGGAAGAGGAAACAGTCTCTGGGATACCGTGAGCCCCACCCCGACTTGCCCAAATCCCTGCAGATGATGGTCGGTCACCTACTGGCAGGCCATCTCAGGGCCAGACTGCTGTGCCCCGCAGAGCAGGAAGAGGACCAAGAAGGAGGGCTGATGCCCAGCAAACAGAGTCCTGGTGGGAGGTCCCAGGAGCAGCAAGGCTGGGGGATCTAGAGACAGATCAGAACCATACCCTCCCCTGCCAGCTCAAGAATGTCCTGTGGCCCATTTCAGGCTTCACATGACCTTCCCCAGCAAACTTGCACTGCTCCAAGGCGCCATGTCCACCATGGTGCCTGGGTCCTGGCAGGGGCTCCGTCCCAGGTGACAGGGTGCTCGTATGTGTAAGGAAGGGGAATGATCTCCCAACCATAACGAGGGCACAGATCCCACATCGACTCGGGCCAGGGAGACACACAGGCCGGTCACCGGAGAGGGCCCACATGGCTGTGCAGTGGTGCCCTGCTGTCACTCCAATCAGGTTCTGACCTCGCTGCCCAGGACACTGGGACCCAGGGAGGAATAAGATACACCAGAGAATCTGTAGGTTAGAGGAAGTTGTCCGGGGTCAGGTGTGGGGGGAGGGGGGTGCTGCAAAGGGGACTCCTGCCAGGACCCCAGAGATGGAAGAGAAGAGCTACCTGGGCAGGGTGTGGGGAGCAAACCAACATCAGTTCCAGTACAGGGAAAGGCGGGGGGCGGGCAGAGGTGGTGAAGGCGGGCCCTCGGGTGCCACAGATGGGCCTGTGACACAGCATGGTCACCCCTCCAAAACTTCAAAACAAATGCTCAGTGATGCAGCACCCTCTCTCCTGCCTAAAACAATTCCTTGAAAGGTTGTAGAAGAGAGTACAGGGGCTGGGGCATTTGCCTTTAATGTGGTTGAGCTGGTTTCAATCCCCAGTACCCTAGACGGTCATCCAAACCAACTCAATGTGGTCCCTGAGCACAGAGCCAGGAGCAAGCTTCATGGCCACGGCCGCAGCTGGCTCCTGGCTACAGAGCTTGTTTTGCAGATGGAAAGGTTCCTGAGACTTCTCACATCACCGGGTGCTGAAGGCCACTGATCTGGACACCAAAAAGCAACATCGTCAACTTTGTTTTGTGTATTATACAATGGAAATAATGACATCAACACAGGTGCGGTAGCAAATTTCAGCACAGCAGATGTTTAAAATGATGGTTTCAGGGTCCCCGTCCCCAGAAAGACCTATTCCAGGTATAGATTTGAAACCCACAATCTGAACTTCATGAATATTTTAAACCTATTTAGCTCAAGAATTCCTTGACTTCTCTTTTTTGTTGTTCTTGCTGTCATATTCAGTTGTTTCTGTTCTACTTTGTTTTGGCTTTTGCTTCCTTTTGGGTCATACTAGGCGATGCACAGGGGTTACTCCTGGCCCTGCACTCAGGAATAACTCCTGACGGTGCTTGGGAAACCATATGGGATGCTGGGGAGTGAACTCAGATCAGCCGCATGTAAGGAAAACACCCTATCTACTGTACTACAGCTCCAGCCCCTACTTATCTTTTTTAATGGCTCAGGGATCACGATCATGACCATCCTGTTGTTCATCGATTGCCTAGAGCAGGCCCCAGTAATGTCTCCTTCATCCTAGCCCTGAGATTCTTTAAAAAGTGCCATATTCAAGGCTCTTTCAGGGTTAGGTGAATGAGACCCATCATTGTTACTGGTGTTTGGCATATTGGGTACGCCACAGGGAGTTTGCCAGACTCTGCCATGTGAGCAGGTTACATTTGGTAGCCTGCCAGTTTGTCCAAAGTAAAAATGAGATAATAAGATGTCGTGCGGCCGCAAATGCGGCCGGGAGCTGAGTTTTATAGGGATAGTCTTGTAAATATTTTGCTTTGCTAACTGGTATGTGCATGTTCATGTGTGTACATGAGTACACGTGTGTGTTCATGTATGTATGTGTGTATGTGTGTGCATGTGTGTGTATGTGTGTATGTGCCTGCATGTACAGAATTGACCTGGTGGTGTCTTGCCACAGATCAAGCAAGATGGGCTCCAGTCCTTGGGGAAGGAGTCCCTTCAGACTTGCGTGGGACTACCGGGCACCTGGCCCATAGGCCTCTCACATTTCAGCTGGGACAAGCTCTGCATCTCGCCAGAAACGTGGCAGCTAAGCCAAACACATGCCCAGAGGATGTCACCACGGGCCAGGAAGGGAGCATGCCTTCCCTGCCTTCCTTCCCCGGCCAGAGGAAGAAGCACAGGGACACCTGCAGCCCTGAGCTGCCAGTGTGCAGATGGCACTGTGGTGCCACGGTCCCCGGGGCTGCCCGGCCAGCAGAGGGCTGGAAGGCAGGCAGGGCAGGCCTGCTCCCAGACTTCCCAGGGAGACACAGCGGCCAGGCCATATCCAGCCAGCCTGGGAGACTCTGAACACACACGGCCCCCCTCCTGCCACTAGGGAGTAATTTGCTCCATTCTCTCACCACCAGAGCCCCCCTGGTATCCTCCCCACTGGCTTCCAGCACCATCACTGGAAGCACAGGGAACAGCTGGGCCTGAAGGTCACAGGATTCTGACCCCTGCCGCTGTGCCCAGCTGGCAGTGGGCTCATGCCATATTACTGTACCCTCTATCTTGGAGTCTCCTCTCAAAACTGTGCACATGTCAAGCCCACAAGTTCAACATGGTAAAGATCCCCCACACGGCAGGGTCCCGCACAGCTACATATGTTAGACTTTGCAGGGGGAGTTTTATCCTTAAGATCCTTTCACAAATAAGGAAAAAGTCCCATGAGATTCCACGACTTGCTAAGGATCTTCCTAGGTCCCCAGAGGTAGCCTGAAATTCAATCCCCAGCCCCCTACCCGAACCCAGAGCTCTTTCTCTGACACCCGCTCTTCCCAGTGGCTCTGAGAGGGGGCCGGCGAAGACCACTAACACTGAGCATTCTGGGAAGGAAAAAAGCGCAACAAAGCTACTTTCAACACAGGACACGAACTGATCCTGCTCCCTTCCCCTGCAATAGGCAGAAAACAAGGCAGGTCGGCGCCCCTCCTGAGCACTGAGCAGAAGAGCCAGGGGTAAGGATGAGCTTCCCCATGCAGACAAGGAGACCAGACTGTCGCTGGTGACTCTGGCCGAGAACACACAGAGAGCGGGAGGATGGAGCTGAGGTCTAATGGTCAAGGCCTGGCAGAGCAGTTGGGGCATATAAGCGCAGAGTCCAGCCACACTTGGGGGATGGGGGTTGGGCTGGAAACACGGTCCCGGGCATGAATCAGGAATGTGGCCAAGGGCTGGTGAGAAGGAATGAAAAACGTGGATTAGAGATGATTCTAAGCTCCAATGAACCGGTGATCGCCATGTCAACGGCTTGGCTCTGGCCTGGATGCCGGGTTTTCGCAGAGGTCCCCACTTAAAACACTCAGGGCAGGACACAGGCTCTCAAAGCCCCCCCGCCCCCCACCCATCCCGCTCCAGGGCGCCCGAAAGGTGACGCCTGTAACTAACCTGCCGAGCAAGGTTTTCGGTTGGTCTATGCCTCCAAAGAGCTTATCTGCTAACTTTTCTAATGCTTTCTGGTACAGCTGATAAGATTTTCTAGCCCGTAAAAATGAGATGAGATCCAGCCAGCTGTCGAGAAATGGACAATGAGATTATGTTGAGAAGGAACCACCAGAAAAAAAAGGGCCCTAAGGAGGCGCTGGCCTGCAGTCTGCCCTGGGGGGAGGGGATGGACACCCCCGGGACCCACCCCAGAAGGCCCCGGTGCCTCTGATTCTGCAGGTCTCTGCAGGCCAAGCGGCTGGGCAGGGGAAGGGAGCAGACGTGACATCGTTAATGACGGGAAGAGCTGAACGTCAGGAACACAAAGGACAAAGATGCTCGTGGCTTGGCCTTCCTTGGGGGCTGTCTCAGGGGCTCTGACGTGCCCTGCACTAGGCCCTAGTTCTAGCCCCTACCCCACCCGGTCCCTGTCCCTTGGGCCTGCCTGGAGGGTGCTCACCAAGAGGCCCACATCCTTCCAGGCGGGGGGACTCTGGGTCTTGGGGGGCCTGCTCGGGCCCCTCACCTGGCAGACAGGTGCCCGCGGGTCTGGGTGGCCCCCCTGCGGAGTCCCGGTCACGCCCAGGTGACACCCGCGGCTCAGGTGCACGCTGGTCTGCACCCACGTGACCACCGAGAGCCGGACCCCGGCCCGGCCAGTCTAACGGCGGCGTCCGGGCAGGGCAGGTGGCCGCCGCGGCCTCGCCTCTTGGGGGACCTGCAGACGCGCCCGGGGGCGCCGCCACGGCTCGGGTCCCCGCGCCACGGGCGCCCACCGGGCCGAGCCCGGGCCGGGCCGCGGCCGCCGGGCCTGTCCCCGCGGCAGGGCCGGGCACGGCGCCCGCAGGCCTCGGCGGGGCCCGGCTCCGCCCGCCCGCCCGCCCCTGGGCCCGCGGCCCGCGCCCGCCCGGCCCGCCCGGCCTCACTTAACTGTTCCCCGCTGGGGCGGCGGCGGCGGCGGGTCCCGGCTCCGTCTCACGCAGAAGCAGCTTCTCATCGCCCGGGCGGGGCGGGAGGGGCCGGGCCCGGGGCCCAGGCGGCGGGGCCGGCGCCGCAGCTCGAGCGCGAGCCTGGCCCGGGCGCGGCAGCGGCGGCGGCGGCGGCGGCGGCGGCGGCGGCGGCGGCGGCGGCGGCGGCGGCGGCGGGGGCGGGGCGCGGCCCGGCGCGGGCTGGGCGCCCGGGAGGGCAGAGCGAGAGCCGCCGCCGGCTCGCCCACCGCCCGCCGCAAGGTCCCCTCCGCGGAGATGGTCTCTTCCAGTGACCCGCGGCGCTCGCGTCTCTCTAGGCCTCACTGGCTCGGGCGCCGGCCCCTCCGCGCCGCCTGGATGCCGGGAAGACCCCGGACCTCCAGGATGATCATCTCAGCCTCTCACCCCCCACCCCTTCTCTGCAACTCACACACACGCAGCACCCCCCAGCCTGACACACCCGCAGACACACACCCGCGCACACACATGCACACACACTTGCACACATACATAAGCATGCACAATACACGCACTCACGCGTGCACATACATGCACACACGTGTGCACATATGCACACAATGCACCGTGCGCACGTGTGCGCACACATGCACCCAAACTTGCCTTCAACCAGCCCCCCAGCCCTTCCACTGCTCCCCCAACCAATTCTTCATCTCTGCTCAACTCACTGGTGGTTGAGCTGGAAAGCCCTCCATTCCCAAGGGACCCCATCAAGCTAAGCAGGACCCGGTCAGCTGCTGACTACAGATTTCTCACTGACCCCCAGTCCCTCAGCGACGCCCCCAGCCTCAGAGATATGTCTCCAGTGAGAGGGGCTAGGGACGAGCAGCCATCTGCTAAGGAAAGGTACAGGCCAGAGGGTAAAATGGGCTTGCATGAGAAGTGGCGTCCTCAGCTGCACCCTCAGTTAGACTAGAAGGGAGAAGCAGCAACCCCTCTTACCCGATAGGCCTTGCAGCAGCCCACGGGCACCTCAGCCAGAGGCCATGTGCTATTGGAAAGGTGTTTGGACAGGTGGCTGGAGCATTCTGATCTGAGAATCCTCAACTTGCCAGTGCATTAACTCTTGTTTTCACACATTCTTGGCTTTTCCACAATTGCTGTTGATTCTAAAGAAACAGCTGCGGAGTTATTTGGTATTTGTTTGCTTTGTTGGGGGGGGGGGGGGTCACACCTGGTATGCTCAGGGGTTCCTCCTGGCTCTGCACTTAGGAATTACTCCTGGCAGTGCTTGGGGGACCATATGGGATGCCGAGGATGGTTCCCGGGTCGGCCACCTGTAAGGCAAGAGCCCTACCCATTGTACTATTGCTCGGTTCCCTTTTTGGGCATTTTTGAAATCCTCTGAGGAAGCTGTGGTGAGTGACTGTATCCATAGGGTATATAGGGACAGAAAGTCCATACATTATTAAAAGTGTTCAACAGAAGGAAAAAGACAAAGAGTTTTCCATTTCATTTCCCAAGTGTAGCAGAGACCCCAAATCTGATAGATAGCCTCCATAAGTCTAGAACATTCATCCCTGGGATTTAGTATGGTTTGGGGAGGGGGGGAAAGGTTCTGCAATCAAATAACTCAAGAAAGTGCTATAAGCTATTTATGTTCTACCTTTTGAAGTATCACAATAAATATTAATAAATGTCTCTAATTAATAAATTAATATGTTAAGCAGTAAAAAGAACTATTTACCTGAGATCTCCCCAACTTACTGATCCAAAGCCACTTTTCAAAGGTCATTGATTAATCTCTGCTAGGGAATCACTACATAGAACAACTCAAACACATAATAGTTTGCTCTATTTAAATCCAGCTTTCTGAAAAACAAGTCAGAACACATCATGGATGTCCATGGATAAATCAACGTCCAAGGATAAATCAACATTTAGAAAAATCTGCAAACTCATTGTACTATTAAAGGAAAATAAATCAAAGGATATTGTCAACAGAATAAATATTTTGATAGAGGCTGGAAAGTACAAGGGTTAAGCTGCTTGCCAACCCTGGTTTGATTCTTGGCACCACATATATTCCCTCAAATACCTTCAGGAGTGATTCCTGAGCAGAGAGAGACAGGAATAAGTCCTGAGTGCTGCTAGGTTTGCCACCCCCCGAAATGATTTTGATAAACTTTAACAACCATTCATAATTTCTTAAAAATAAGAAAAAGAAAATTACTTTTAGTAGGTTAAAGAAGACCTCAACAACATTCTTAAAGGTAAAGGTAAAGGCCCTCCCATTGTTCATCGATTTGCTCGAGCGGGCCCAGTAACGTCTCCATTGGAGACTTTGTTGTTACTGTGTCTGGCATATCGAATACATCACGGGGAGCTTGCCAGGCTCTGCCGTGCGGGCGAGATACTCTCGGTAGCTTGCCGGGCTCTCCGAGAGGGGCGGAGGAATCGAACTCGGGTCAGCCATGTTGGCTGCATGCAAGGCAAACACCCTACTGCTGTGCTATCGCTCCAGCCCCTGGACGATAGCCGAGGTAGACGAGATAGCCGAGGTAGACGAGGTGGCCGAGTGGTTAAGGCGATGGACTGCTAATCCATTGTGCTATGCACGCGTGGGTTCGAATCCCATCCTCGTCGGTTTCTAGCCACTCTGTGTTATGCTGGTTTTGTAATCAAACAACATTCTTAAAGGTAAAATAATAAACCTTTGCCATTTAAGTCAGAAACAAAATAAGGTGCCTGATATAATTGCTTCAGAATAAAACCAATGCAATAAGAGAAGAAAACGTAAATTAGAAACATAAGACACTGAACACAGTCTTTTTTTAATAAGTTAAGGAAAAAATAAAAAAGAGAATCAACAGAAAGTATTAGAAACTTTATTAAAATGGATAGTCCTAAGATAATCCCCCAGATATATGGCCCAAGCCTTCATTTACATCTAGAGGAATTCTGGCCCTGAGCACAGCCAGGTGTGGCCCCAAACCCCATCCCATCTCCCACCCCCTAAAGAGAATAAGACTCTTGCCCTCTCTCCCTCCTAGCAGGGGATGAGTAACTCAAGCTGATTAGAGAGTATTGGGGAAAGTCACTGCATACAAATAGAAGGTTTGAATTCTCTGTGGGACTTGAGTTGATTTCAGAAAATAAATATTTTTATGTGTTCTCCATACTGTAGGAAGTAGATCTCTTTGCAGACCATTCCTCTTTTCCAGCTCTGACTGCTGCTTTAGAGGTAAATATATCCAACTCCTGGGAAGATAGAGAAAGCCTCCTGGTTCCAGATAAGAGGTCAAATTTTCAGTCAATTTATCAGCAAAAAAGGTTGCATTTGATCTCATTTTTGTATCTATACATCTGTTTCTTCCAAACTCAGATGTAGCGAAGTAACACATACCATAGTTCCCATGATTTCCATTTAGGGGTGTGTGTGTGTGTGTGTGTGTGTGTGTGTGTGTGTATGTGTGTGCGCACACGAGTGCACATACACGCATACCAGGGATTCGTCCCAGGGCCACACACAGATAAACCATGCATCCTACCACCGAGGCCCATTTTTTTTAACCACAAAGTATGATTTTTTAAAAAAAAAGGAAAGAAAGATTATATTCATGAGCCTGGAGATGGTCAGTGGCTAAGCATCTGCCCTCACATCTGTACATGTGAGGCTGAGAATGCTGTCCACAAGTGCCAGCCACCGTGCTAGCACCTCTGTTTGTGCCTGGTAACTCTGCTGTCTGTAATCCCAATGTCACAAGTGAGTTCAATGTCACAATGTCACACCACAGACAGGGATGCACAAACACCAGAACAGAAGGACACCCTCCTGGCAAGCAGTGCCCCTTGAGAGATAGATGTGTGAGTGGCAAAGGCCAGAAGTGTGACATCCCCACCACCCTTGAGCATGCATGTGACACCACAAAACATGAGATCTCCAGCGGGCAAGTATGCAAGCCCCTCCTCAGAAGGAGTGCACCCTCAGCAAGCACCATGATCTAGGGTCTGAGCACAACCCCCACCCCCCAGCGAGCTCCTGCTGTGTCTGTGCTCCCCTCACTCACCTCAGCAGCAGCCATGGGGGGAGGGGAAGAAGGGGATAATTAAAACGTCTAAAAAGAAAGAGAGAGTTCGATGGACTGGGATGCGTACTTTGCATACAGGTTTGTCATATGTTTGTCCCACCAATCACCATCAGGAGTGAGTACTGAGCACCAAGCCAAGAGTAGCCTCAAGCACTGCTGGGTATATCTCAAAAACAAGAAAGAAAGAAAGAAAGAAAGAAAGAAAGAAAGAAAGAAAGAAAGAAAAGGGGGTAGAAAAATAAAGGGAGAAAGAAAGAGAGAGAGAAAGAACTAATGTATGTTCACATATATTATAAAGTACCTCTGTATAGCCTTAACAAGAAATGGCAAAGCCCAGAAAAACTTAATAAAAGTCATCAAAGAAACCTTAATATATGTGAAAATGTTAGAAATCTTTGGACAGAAAATCTCAATGTTTCCAAGAAGCCTATTTCCCCAATTCAGTTTATAAATTTAGTAAAATCAAGTCAAAGGTCGAGAAACAGTACAGGGGTTAAGGCATTTGCCTTGCACGCAGCTGGCCCTGGTTTAATTCCCTCCTTGCATGCAGCTGGCTCTGGCTTAATTCCCATCAGTGCATATGGTTCCCAAACATTTCCAGGAGTGATTCTTGAGCACCTCCAGGGTATGGCTCAACCCCCTCCCAATCCAAATCAAAGAATCAATATGAGTTGGGGGTGGGTTGTGATAGAACTTAA